TGGCGCGCTGACACTTTTGCCACAGCGATGACTTCCCTTACGACACCTGCGTTTGACTTCTCAAGACGATATGTCGTTTTCTCGCCGTGAGATCGGTGCGAGCCAGCAATCAGACCGCAAACATTTTAACGACTGCCGCGACGGGGAATTGAACTAAGGACCATGAGGATCGGAGTCCAGTGCTCTAACCACTGGACCATCGCGGCAGTCATATATATATATATATATATATATATATATATATATATATATATATATATATATATATATATATATATATATATATATGTATATATATATATATATATATATATATACATACCTACATATATGTGTGTGTCTAAATCTGCATACACACACACGTACATACACACAGAAAAATCCACAATGCACAGACTAGATTTTTTTTTAAATAAGACAGTTTCGAAATTCTCCTGGATTTCATTTTCAGGTTTGAAGACCTATCTATCTATCAGTGAAAGGTAAAACACTACCGCGTTGATACTATAGTAGAAAAATCCACAATGCACAGACTAGATTTCTGAAAAATGAGAGTTTCGAAATCCTACTGGATTTCAGGTCAGGTCGAAAAATCAGGCGATCTATGCGAAGACTGGCCGGCATAAGGAAGAAGATGGAGGATGTTGGAAGTGAGGAGGCTATTGGCAGAAGAAAACTATGGTAGAAAACAATGCACTGACTAGATTTCTTAAAATGAGGCAACAGTTCCGAAATCCTCCTAGATTTCATCTCCAGGTCTGAAGAGGAAAGAGAGAGAAAGGAGTATAAAAGAGAGACGGAGACAACACGGTGAACACAGAGCAGGTAAAGACAGGTAAACAGAAGCGAAGGAAGGAAGGTCAGGTCGAAGGCTGACCGGCATAAGGGAGAAGATGGAGGATGTTGGAAGCGAGGAGGCTATTGGCAGAAGAAAAACAGCTGTTCAAGTTAAAATTAGGCAGCAGCTTGATAAAGGAGGATTCCATCAATCTGCGGGCGAGGATATCAGCGGTGGGCATCAAACGGGGCCTTGGAGGAACAGGGAGTCAGCATCCAATCTCATCATGGTCACCGGCGAAACATCACGGACACGGGAGATGAAGACCTGAGAGTAGCGGTGGTGAGCAGAAGAGGTGCCAAGAAGGGAAGTGAGTCTTCGCAGCTTGGCCGAAAGAGGCTGATACCCGGGAGGAGATGATAGGACACAGAGATACGCCCGGCTTATGGGTTTTGGGTAACCCATATAATTGAGGGAGACGAGGGTTAATGACCTTGAACCTCTGGTAGAGATTCGCTTCCGGAACACAGGATGCTAACTCTTTCAATTCTCGTGGGTCGAGGAAGAGAGCACCTGCTCCTCGAAGCAGTCGCGGAGGAACGAAGTTGATTCGTATATATGTATATCTATATGTGTATATATGTGTGTATAATTATATATATGGTATATATATATGTATATGTATGTATATATATATTATGTAGGTATATATATCATATATGCACATATATGGGTGTATATATATACATATTCATATATATACATATACATATATATTCCGTAATAGGTTTGCCACTCAGGCGTCGTATCTTAAGTATGGAGAGGTAGACTAACACAGTCGTGAAGAATTTCATGTTTATTAGACGTTTTGAAGGCATAAACTAAACCTCCATCATCAGTAAGCTGTCAAAGAACCCTTTGAAAAATCAGTTAGACAATAATAGATATGGATATTTGGTTTTGAACAAAAAATTCAAATATGTAAAGTTGAATAATATATACATAGACGTAATGAAATCATAAGAAAGAACAACATACAATATAAGCATATACATGAAATAAAATAACATATATACCAGAAAAAACTATAACAACCAAAAAGGTAAACTAACCAAAAGTGGGTGTTGGTGAGAGGGAAGGCCTATTGAGTAAATAAGGCTGTTGCAGTGATTGTGTTGTTTAGTTCGGGTTTCATCTTCTGTAGGAATGGGAAGATGAAATACTAAAATCTGTTTTAGAGAAAGGGTGTGAGTGGAGAGGAGAGTGTTCTCTTACTGCCGAGAAAGATGGTTTACTCAGCGGAAGGCCAGTCCTGAAGGATTTGCTTTTGTGTTTTAGGATGCGGTATCGTAACCATCGTGAGGTAGATCCCACGTACCGAGCTTGGCAGCAAGGACATGTAAGCAAGTACACTACGTTAGAACACACACACACACACACACGCACACACACACACACACACACACACACACACACACACACACACGCACACACACGCACGCACGCACGCACGCACGCACGCACGCACGCACGCACACATATACATATATATGTATATATATATATATAGATATATATATGTATATATGTATATGTATATATCTATTCCGTAATAGGTTTGCCACTCAGGCGTCGTATCACAAGTATGAAGTGGTACACTAACACAGTCGTGAAGAATTTCATGTTTATTAGACGTTTTGAAGGCATAAACTAAACCTCCAT